ATAAAGATATTTTGTTAATATTCAAGATAAAATGTTTAAAACAAGATTAATTTAAATTTTGAGATTAAATAATTAAAGATTTAGGCAACACTTTCATAGATAATGATAAAAATAAAAATAATTCTTTTGATAAAGGAACTAACTATGAAGTTATAAATAATGAGTGTGAAGATGATAATAACAACAATGATTTACTTAGAAACTCACACAAGTTGATAAAATACATTAAACTGTCAAGTGTTCAAAATCAAGTTTTTTAATCAAAAGTTAAAGCTTTACTCAAAAAAAAAAATTAAACCTCATCTTGCTGTAAAAAATCTCTGGAACACAATACCAATAATGCTAGAGCCATCAAAAAAGAAATAACAACTCAAGAAACATTTTTAGAATTTAGGACAGATTTAGTTGGTTGGAAAAGTTTCTAAAAATTAATAAATGTCTACTCATTTATAAATTAAAAAAATGCCAAAAAACAAATTTTAAAAAAACAGTAAAACAGCTGTTAACAGCTCTTTTTAAAAATTCTACAACAGTAAAAGAGCTGTTTTTCAAAAACCACTGTTTTTAGAAACCCTATTTATATCTTTAAAATTATATTTAAGTATGCAATCGCTAAATTCGGAACGATGAATTCCATTTCAAAATGCCACTGTCACATTTTAAAATTATTATTTTTAGGTAATTACATTAAGCAATGATAGTATTAATTAAAAAGATAAACAAACGAGTCAAACCCATTAGATAAGCTTGAAAACTTTACGACAAAGTGCTTACAAAATTTATTGCCTTCATAATTATGGATGACAAAACATATATCAAATGTGACTTCAAACAGCTCCCACGCCCAAAATTTTACAATTTAATTGTTTATGGACGTGTCAGCAACAAGTTCAAGTATAAATCATTGGATAAATTTGGTAAGAAATTTCTCTTGTGGCAAGCAATATGCGGTTGCGTGATAATGGTTTGCCACATTATCAACTTTAAACTCGGATGTTCACATTAAGCAATGTTTGCAAGCTAGCCATTTAATCAAAATTACAATGTCCCCTGTTGGTTATGGCCTGATCTTGCTTCTTGTTGTTATTCTAAGAAGTTCGTAGAGTGGTTCAATTCGAGAGATATCAAATTCATACTAAAAAGCTTGAACCCATTTATCTGCCCACAGCTCCGTCCCATTGAAAAATTTCGGGGAATTCGCAAAGGATATTTGCGTAAGAGTGGCAAAACAATAATTACAGCTAAAGATTTAGTTAGAGAATGGACATTAGTGGAAAAAAAGACACTGTGCAGAAGTTGATGTCATCGATTAGCGTAAATGTTCTTATTTTATATAAAAATATAAAAATAAAAAGCATTTTTATAATCTTCAAGATTAAAATATTGAAGTTTTTGTATTGGTTTAATTTTTTTTTTTTTTTTGAATTTTTCAACGTTTTGAATTTAACAATCGCATGCTTTACCTAGTGGGCACAGGACGTACAAAAGAAAACTTTTAAACGTTTTTAGAGCGTTTTTGATGTCTTTTGAACATTCTAAAGACGGTATGTTTAAAAAAGAGACGTCTTTTAAACATTTTAGGTACCATCCTTACTGGGTAGAAAAAGAACTAAAATTAGATCTGAAAAAAATTACAATAACTTGTAATCATAAAAGTTGGTTAAAATTTAATTTTTTTTTTTTTTTCTTTTTTAAACATCTTCCCTTCCAACAAGTCTGCAAGCAACCACTAATTAGTGTTGGAAGTTACTGGAAGAGAAAAGTTGAAGATTGTAGAGCAACATAACAATTGAACGACGACTTAAAAGATTGCAAATTATATGAATTAGGAAAGCAAGATAAAGGAAGCAAATTCCAAAGAACTGATGTTCAAGGAAAAAAACTAGACGAATAAGAGTTTTTGGAGCACTTAGGAACAGTAACAGAAAAAGGATGAGACTTAATTGAATGACGAGTAACACAAGAATAAATTTAAGTAGATGGCACAAGAGACGCTAGCTCTTTAGAGCAGTGCCCATTATTGTATTTGTAGAAAAGAGAAAGAGAAGCAACATTACGACGATGTGACAAAGGTTGAAAGTTGGCTGCAAGAGCAGGTCCAACTATGTTTATAAATACTATTATAAATACAATGCGTTTTTGCACCTTGTCTAAAAGAGAAAGGGCGTCATTAGAAGATACACCCCAGATATGGCAACAGCATTCCATACAAGGCTGGATTTGAGATTTATAGAGATAGAGAATAGAATCCAGAGTAAGAAAGTGTTCATCTTAAAGTTCCATCTCAATAAAGAGATGCAACTTTAGCAGATGCTAATTTTGCAACGGATTTGATATAAAGTTTCCAAAAAAAATTTTAACTTAGGCATTAGGTTGGCACAAAATTTTATCATTAATATTTTATATAGAATTAATGAAACTTTCATATTTCCACTTTTTGTTTACTATTTTAATAAAAGGTTCCCATTTAGAATTTAATTAAAATCTTTGTTTTTGCCTTTTTTTACTTCAATTATTTTATTAAGGATTTGGATCAAACGTTCCCTTTTCTGTTGGTTTTTTGTTAAATTTTATTTAGAAGTTAACACGTGTGCCATAAAACTTGGGACTAGCTTTAATTAGCAATAATTAATTAGTAAGTTTGATAAAATATTTAGTAATTGGTATCAATCTAAAGCTAAATCAGGAAGTACTTAAAAGTGGTATCAAACTAAAGATCTATCTTTTCTTTATCAAGTAGTATGTAAATTGCCTGATTATTGTTTGTTTAAATAACAATTTAAAATGCCCAATCAGGAAGCCCTTTAAAGTGGTATCAAACTAAACCTCTATCTTTCCTTTATCAAGTAGTATGTAAATTGTCTGATTATTATTTGTTTAAATAACAATTTAAAATACCAAATCAGAAAACCTTTAAAAGTGGTGTGTATGATTTTTATCGAAAAAGGTATGAAGATGGAAAGCATGTCGCTTCGAATCATTTTAAGAGAAGGTTACTCTAAAATAGAGTCATAGAGTCAGAAACCTTGAGGTAGAAGAAGGCCTACTTTTAACACACAAAACAACTGCATCTAATTAAGAGAATGTTTAACAATCGAAGAGGTGTCACTTTCAAAGGGTGCTAGAAGGCTAGGTTGTAGTAAAAGGACTATCCAACAAATATTAAAATGCTTTCAAAAGTCTATTCTTTGTTATAATAAAAAAATAAGACCGGACAGAACTCCTAAACAGAGGCCTTGGGGTCGCCAAAAAAGTAGTCAACTTTATTCAAAATATCATGACCATGAATTTATTATCGATGATGAATCTTACTTTACCTTGTCGAATAGCACACTGACTGGTAATAATACATACTATTCAAATGATAAAAATTAACACCAGACATTGTTAGTAATACGACAAAATTTAAATTTTTAAATTTTATTTAAAATTTTAAATTTTGTCATATTACTAACAATGCAAAATTTAAAAAAAAAATACTTTTATGGATGGCAATCTGAATGATCATACAAATATTGTATGATAATCCAGACCATATTCTAAATATACAGAAAAACTTTGGAGTAAAATATCCGGAATTTACTTTACTTTTAATTTTGCTTTTAGCTGCATTGTTTCAAATTTTTACAAACTTTTCTTAGTTTTGTATAAGAGATGAGTGAAAAAGCTTAAAAAACAATATATTATAAAAATTTATACCTAAACTTGTATGTATGGAGAATGTTTTGGATATCTGGAAAAAATAAAGTAAAAAAAAAAAAGAAAAATATCAGGAACTCCAGAAATATCTAGAAAAAGATAATGCCTGTTAATGAAGTTTTAAGTCATTCTCAAATTTTATGGTACAGGTGTTAATTAAAACATTTGGGTTTTCATTTTTATTTTAATTATTTTTTTATATTTATACATTATATATAGAGTTTAATTTATTTAATGTATAAATATTTTCATAATACAGGATTAAACTTTTTAAACAAAAAAAAAAGCGCAGATACTAATATGATACCCATTGTGCAAAAAGTGTCTTATTAGACTGATACTGATGCCTATTAATAAGTACATCAATATTAGTTACTACATAAGTATATGCTAGGCCAAACATGTGACTATTAGAGTTTTTGTGAATCAAAAAATAATACCCTTTTTACACTGAGATCTGATGATAAAACAGATGAATTTAAATTGGTCATGGAACAAGTAGGTCAGAGTAGAAAAGAGATAAAATTTAACAGATAAAAAGTTACTTCAAGACAATAAATACTTTTACAAGATAAATTGAGAAAAACTGATAAGAACAGAGAAAAGTAATTGAATGAAAAACAAATTCGCAAAAACAAATAATTAGAGGATTCAAATTGAATTTTACAAAGAATAGGTTAATTAATTCATAATTATATGCCCAGGCCAAGAATGTACTATTAGAACCTTTGTAAATTAAAGAATAATACTCTTCTGCACTGAGATCTGAGATAAAACAGCCTATTTAAATTAGTCAAAGACAAGTAGGTCTGGTAAATTTTAAAAAAGATAAAATTTAATATATAAAAAAAATTTTCAAAACCACAAATACTTTTAAAGGTAGATTGAAAAAATTTGGTATCACAAAACATTTTTAATCAACTTTTTAAAAGTATAATAAAAACCATTAATATACAATCTATATTAATGTTTCCTTATGTTAAATATTTTTAGTGCAATAGCCATGTTTTAAAATATTAAAGAACTTTACTCAATCATAGTGCATGGCACACACCAAGCAATTTCATTTTTCACCAAGCTCATTGGTTTAAACAAACGTATAATTTAGAAATTATTCTCACGATATTATATAGTGAAAAAATCTCTAACATAATGTGATACATAGTAATACTATATTACTGATATATAGTAATACTATATACTATTAGTATGTATCAAGTTTCATTTTAAAATTTATAGAATACAAAAAAAAACAAGATTTAAAATAAAAAATTTTAAAAAGAATTTAATGGTAAACATACCTGTAATCTGATTTCCTATGTTCTTAGTTATTTAAAATTGCTACCATCAAAGCATTTCTTTGCAATTGTATGCAGCAGCTTGATTATGCAGATTATTATGCAGTAAATGAGCGGCTATTATGAACCACGTGACTTAATAAAATTATCGATTTGTTGTTGTTAGACTAATTGCTATTATTTACACTCTTACATATGTCGTTGATGCCGGAAAAGAGACGGTTTCGGTTAAGCCAAATTTTTATCGCAACTGAATTATTCAGATCTATCGGTTTGGCCGATTTTAATTAAACCATTTTAATTGTTTAAATTTGAACAAATGCCAAGAAAATTTTTATTCAAACCGAAAAAAATTACCTTTTGGAATTAATTTTTTAACTTCAGCAATAAAACTTTTGCTAATAAATACAGCAGGGTACAAAGATACATAAACCCAGTGGACCCGGACGTAAAAAAGACGTCTTTTAAACGTCTTATACACGTTTTGGGCGTCTTTTGAACGTCTTTTGAACGTTTTGGACGTCTTTTGAACGTTCAAAAGACGTCTTTTTTAGGTCCGGTGCCCACTGGGAAAACGCTAATTGTGTTGGTTTAACGTGTTTTTTATTTGATAATGTACATCCTAATAGGTTGTGATCTTTATCTTCTATACATTTATTCATTTATTTAGTTATAAATGTGTACAAATTATGGCGTTTACCAGAGCAAGGGTTTAACACCCAAATTATATTGAAATATATCTAACTTTGATTTGAAATCTTTAAATATCTTTGATTCTATAAAGCATTGGTCTAAACTATTTTAATTACTAATTACTCGATTTGATAAGAGTGAATGTCTCTTATGATTTTTTGTTAATTGACACTGAAACCTCATACGACCTCTAGTAATTGACGGCTAAATTTGCATTTAACCATATCAAAGATTTTATTCCAGTATTATATCGTTTGATAAAAAAAAGAGGCAACAAAGGAAGTGAAAATACATCAGTGCAGTTCTTTAGGGGACAAGAATGAACTCCATCTACCTCAGAGTTATTAATATTCTATCAGGTAAAAGTGTAGGGTTATTTCAAATAACTTTGGTTCAATTTTTAAAAAATGATAAATTGTCATCATTTTTTTTTAATGAAAACTGAGATAAATTATTCAAAGCATTTGCTTTTAACAAATAGTTTGATTTATTTTTACTATTAACATTAATTTTTAAGTAATTCCTTTTTTAACATTAATTTTTAGGTGTTTCCTTTTTTTGTTTCTTATTTATGCATACATTGCTTTTGGGTTTCTTTTGACGTTTAAAACGATGATTGTTTCATATATTAACTTGGTTCTTATTGTAAATATCGGAATAGAAGATTTCATTTCATTGTAATTATCGGAATAGAAGTCCTTTATTATAAATATTAACATTTTTGTTTTATGAATTATTTTCAATTTTACTATTTAAATAGTTTAAAATAGAATACCAGTTGCAGCTATAAAGGTTTTTATTATATAAAATTAAATTTTTTTGTAACTATAATTTGTGCAAATAACTTCTAAAGCAGTATAAATTCATTAGAATTTGATGGTCCTCACTTTTCTCCCCTGTCTAATTGTAAGGTTAAATAGTTTGGTGAATAGACACAACGATAAAAACTCATCGATTGGGGTATTATAAGTGTTAGGAAAGGTGGAGATACTTTCTAAATTTACATGAAAATTGGAGTGCGATGATAAATTGAGGGATAAAGGTTGTTTTTTTTTAATTTAATTTTAGTTTATTATTTATGAGCGCACGTCGCTTTTTTATTAGACCCTTGCGCATCAGAAACTTTATCATCGAATCCAATTTTAAACCAAATTACTTTTTTAAAAAGTTTTTTTCTCTATTTCTAAAACTTAAAAAAACTTTGTTATATTCGGTCGAAGTAATGTATTCGGTCGAAGGTTTAGGATAACTATTTACTATAAGACCTTAATTTATAACTTAGTATAGTTTAATATTCAACGTCATCACAAAATAGTTTAGGGTACGTTGAGAATATGGAGAAATTACAAAGCATTCAATCTTGTCCTATTTTCCTTTGTAATTAAAGATAACCAACTTTTCTTTAGTTAAATTGAGTAGAGTGGATCATTTACTTTATAAAATATTATTAAAAAAAATGTTTTAATGAAATTAGATTGATTTGAATAACTACATTTTTTCAAATCGAAATTTGAATCACTTTTCTGATTTGATTTTTATTTCTTGTCTATTTTGGCACTTTAACCTTCAAAACGAGTTATACTTACACTTAATGACTATTCTGCTTATTTTCCTCCTATAAGAGGCATAACTGGTATAATATGATAAAGTCATAACTGGGAATATCCAAATAAATGATACCTCTTATCTTAGAGAAAATAAAACTGGTAACAGGAAAAAATGAAAGAAAACATTTTGAAATTCCACTTTCCAATAATCAAAATTTAAAACTTGTTAAAGAACTTTTCTCGAACTTTAAAGATGTTATACTTTGGTGTAGCAACGTTTTGTTTCCATATCTTGTAAAAATGAAGGGACAATTAAAAACTATTGGAAGGCAATTGAAAAAAGAATTTATGTATTGTTTACTAATGGACACACACACAGACACACACACATATATGTATATAAAACTTTTATTTGAGGAGGTAGGGGGGTAAGGAAGTGGTAAAAGAAGAGGAGTTAAGTATTAGGGAGGGTGGTCAACTCATTGATTTTTTCTTTACTCCAGTTAATTAAGCAGTAATTAAAATCTCTACGTAAATAATTATGTGTTATAATTATAATAATTGTATAACACATAAATATTATGAAATTATTATTGTATATGTAAATAATTATTATGAAATTTATACTACTATAATATAGATTGTTCTTCTTTCAGTAATAAAAGTGCTCATAATACAAAATGGTCTGGGTAATGAACACTTTTGCTACTTTTTTAAAACCTCTGTGTTTTTAAGAAAAATTTCAGGTGCCCAAAGAAAAATTTCAGGTGCCCAAATATTTTAGTGGATCATGAGCAGTGATCCCTGAAAATTGTTTATTCGTAAAAATTTTGGATCTAGCATAATTTTTATTGAAATTATTCCAATTTTTGCTTAAGGTGACCATAATATCGCAATCTACCTTATATAAAAAAATGTGGGGGAGGGGGAGAGGGATTTGGGAGAAACTGTGCTTTTTAGTTATTGTTTTTTTGAATTTTTGATATTGATTCCTGCTCGTGTGATCTGAATGACTCCAATAGTCAAGACCGGTCCAAGGTAACTAAGGACCCTAGTGCAGCCAAAGTTTTAAGGCCTGTAATAATATTAAATTCAGTAATAACCTGTTGTTGTTTTTTTATATGTATTCCTTTCGGCACTTTTTTTGCATATGTTTTTCTTTCTTTTTTCCGATTGGCACTCCCAGTCGTGTCAAAAGGCCTATCAAAATTTTTAAAATTGTTTGTTTTATTGCTATTTTTACATTTGCTTTGGTTTTTTAGTCTATATATTTAAGTGAACATTATAGATAATCTTTTTCTATATCACAATTACTTTTTTTCTACTTTAACATTAACAGTAGTGCTAAAACTATAAATTAAGTAATAATTATTAAAAATACTATTGAAAATAAAAACCTTAAATAGTCTATCTGTGTGGTGGATCGTTCTGAATTTAAAAAGGGTTATGACATTCACCATGTTTTGATTTTTTGTGTTATTACTTGTTACACGGTTGTTTGAAATTTTCCTTAGTTTTTTAAAACTTTGCATACTTCTGTAAAAATTAAACATAAATTTATCTTTTGTAAATGGTTATTTTTATGTTACAATCAGTAATTGGAAAAACAATGTGAAAATATGGGAAAAATCATTATCACCAACATTATAAAATAATGTTGGTGAATAAGATTTTTGTTTTTAGGGTCATATTTGTTTTTGGGCTTTATTGCATATAAAATTTAGAAAAGATATAGAGGATAATTTTTTTTTTTTTTGAAACATTTTGAATATTTGAAAGCAAAAGAAATTAAAAACATTAAATTGATAAGAATATTTGTTTCGAATAAAAGAGGTTTGGCATTAGTATAACGATCTTTAAAATTTATTAGACTTACTAGATGCTTCTCTTGCCGATAAAGGAGATTTAATTAACTTTTTTTAGCAGTACCCCACGCGATGTTTCCATACTTTACATGGCATTGAATGTGAATAATAAAGTTGAATTAATGCATGTATATTAAAAAAAGTTTCTCGCTTTGTATAATTTTCCAATTATTTTTAACTTAGTTACGCAAGGTGTTGATATGATTTTTCTATGTGAGATTATCATCAATGAAAACACCAATGAAATGTATAACTTTTAATTGTTGTGTTTCTCCAGAATATTGCAAATATATATTAGAGGCATATCGTTTGGCAAAAGATTATTTTTTGCATTCTGGATGAAATAGAGTCCATTTAGTTTTTCTATGGTAATTCATAGTTTATTTGACTTAAACCATTTTGAAATTTTAGTTAGCTCCATGTTTATACAAAAGTGTTATGATATTATAACTATACAGAAAAAAAAGTTTGAATCATCAACAACATTACCGTCATTAAATTTGTGGCATTATAAGAAATGTTAATATAAATAATGGGTTGTCCATAAATTACGTCACGCTAAGAGGGGGGGGGGGTTGGTGGTTTTGTGACGACTCATTCAAAACTCGCTTCTTAAGTGTTACGATTTTGTGACAAGGGAGGGGGGGTCGAAAACGGTCAAAAATTGCGTGACGTAATTTATGGGCAACCCCTAAGAAGAAAAAAGTAGTAAAAGTGACAAAATAGAAAATGAAAGTTTTATGTCCATTTTTCCGAGGAAAGTAAATACTATGAAAAATCAATAACAAATACAAACAAACTTAAACGCTCAAGAACTTTATGTAAGTCTCTACACTCGACTTGCATAAATGCCTTTATCATTTTCATATTAACAACAACAACTACCCATAACAACAACAACAACAACAACAACAACAACAACAACAACAACAACAACAACAACAACAACAGCAGCAGCAGCAGCAGCTTCATCAACAACCAGGGTCGAAAAAATAGATGGGGTCCTTATGGTACCAAAAAAATTAGCAAAAATAAATAAAACCATTT